ACAAAGAAAAAATTTTGTAATGAATATTTTGTAAATTACAAAAATATTTTGTAACCCTAATCCCAATAACTTTACAAATATAGAAGTCTCCATACAAAGAAAAAATTTTATAATGAATATTTTATAAATAAAGGTACATTTAGCTACAATGTCCCATTTTCCCTATGTATGGCAACTTTTGGGACACCCTGTAGAACAGGGCAGACAAAGCAAACTCTATATCAGGCATGATAAGAAGTACAGTGAGAAAGATAATTATAAAGTATAAGGAATGAAGCCGGTGTGGTGTCTCACAATTGTAATCCTAGCACTTGGGGAGGCCAAGGCTGGAGGATCACTTGAGGTCAGGAGTTCAAGACTATCCTGAACAACATAGCAAGATCCCGTCTGTACAAAAAATAAAAAAATTAGCCAGACATGGTGATGCACGTCTGTAGTCCCAGCTACTCAAGAGGCTGAGGCAGGAGGATCACTTGAGTGCAGGAGTTTGAGTGAGCTATGGTTGCACCACTGTGCTCCAGCCTAGGCAACAGAGTGAGACCCTGTCTCCAAAAAAAAAGGTGTAAGGAAGGTAAATGTTTTGCATTTAGCAGCTTGTCCCTATATCCTAATCCAGACTATCCAGTCCTTTGAGGGCACAGACTCATTTTATACCATCAGTATTTGGTTCATAAACAAAAAGTGAAAAATTTAAGAATAAATTAACACAGTATTTCTCCTAAACAGTATCTCCTATTTCCCTCCAAATCCTCAAAATTATGAATTCTTTCTTTTAGACTTTTGGAAAATTATATACATGTAAATTTCTAGGATTTTGTATATTTTAAGTAATGAGTTTTCCTTTTCTCTTTTTTCTTTTGTAAGCTCCTTGCCCGACTTGAGGGTAGAAGTTCCTTGAAAGAAATAGAACCAAATCTGTTCGCTGATGAAGATTCACCTGGGCATGGTAAAAACACAACCTAAAATGAAAATATAGTGTCATAAATTAACTTTTATAAAACAAATATTTTTTCACAGATTCCTAGCAAGAAGTTATATAGGTTAAACTGTATAATTAAAAAATGAGAAACAGATCATGACATCTGAGACAGATGAGATGAAGTTTGGCTTATCTGCAGTAAATCTTCAGGTTATACATTGACCTCCTTCTTTTATCCCAACACATAATATTTATAGCAGTTTTGTTATTTTATTTTTTATTCTTTCTCTTTAGAAGTTTAGAGAATTACAGGAACGTCCTTAGGTACCTGCTTGTTAGTGTTTCCACAGAAGGGAAAATAGGTACCTACTTGTTCTATTCGCACTTCTACGCTAGAGAAAACTTACAGAGAAGGTAATGTGCTTAGGTTATTTTTGGTTTTTTTAATGTAGCAACTTCATAGACATATAATTCACCCATTTAAGTGTATAGTTCAGTGATTTTTTAGTATATTCACACAGTTGTGCAACCATTACTATAATTGACTTTAGAACATTTTCATCACCCCATAAAGAAACCCATGTCTGTTAGTTATCACCCCTCATTTTCCCATGTGTCCTTCATCCCTAGGCTAATAATCTACTTTCTACCTCTATAGATTTGCCTTTTCTGGACATTTCATGTAATTGGGATTATACAGTATATGGTCATCTATGACTGGCTTCTTTCACTTTGCATAATTTGTATGGAATTGCATAATTCAATGTTCATCATATTGTAGCCTGTATCATAGTTCTTTTTATATTGTTGAATAATATTCATTGTATGGGTATACCACATTTTGTTTATCTGTTTATTAGTTAATGGGCATTTGGGTTGTTTCCTATTTTTGGCTGTTATGAATAATGCTGCTATGGTTATCTCTGTACAAGTTTTTCTGTAGGTGTTTTCAGTTCTTGTAATACCTAGGACAGGGATTGCTAGGTCATATGACAACTCCTGTTTTCCAAAGTACCTTCACATTTTACTTGCCACCAGGAATGCAGGGTGTGATGGTTCCAATTTCCCCAGATCCTGAGAATAATTATTATTTGTCCTTTTGAT